AATTATTATTAAACTTTATTTTGGCAGATTTTATTCGGAGAATGGGGTTTTTTCACCTTTAAATTGGGAATTTCATTTTTTTAAGCATTTGAGAATACTGCATTTGATGGGGTCATACAGGGCTAATTTACACCCTGATATATGTATATAAATATATATAATTATTATTATATATATATATATATATATATATATATATATATTTATATATTTTGTATTATATATATATATATATATATTTATATGTTTTGTATTATATATATATATGTGTGTGTGTATATATACATATATATATATATATATATATATATATATATATATATATATATATATATATATATATATATATTATATATATATATATATATATATATATATACTATGTATATATAATTAAATATCTAGAATTATTGTATAGCTGGGGCCGGGATTGTATGTATCTAATGTTTGGCCAGGGTAGGGGCCTCGGTCACTTCCTACTAAAAACATCAATCAATGAAATTTTCATATCTAAATGGAAGCTTAAAGGAAAAAAATTTCTTTCATAGAAAAATCAATGTCCTTCAAGGAAAAGCTATACATGAAAATAAATCTGAGACAAAAGTTTATCTAGCTAATCTAACCTTATTGTGGACATAGTTCATAAGACATAGAATCAGAATCAAAACTTTTGTGAAGCAAGAAACATGTATTTTTTCTTTGAAAGTTTGTTGAACACTTAAACAGTATACCAAAATTAAAAAATATTTATAGATTGTGATTTAGTATTTTTTTTAAATAAAAATACTATAAAAAGTCCTTTGTTTGTTGCTACATTAAAATATGTTGAATTTATTTCTAAAAAATGTTAAATTTATTTCTAAAAGATTCTCAAAGTGATAGAGCAATGGTTTCATTTTGATTTTATGTTTTTAAAAAGCATCTTAGTTAACACTCTCAATATGTTTTTTTTAAATGATGTATTTGCAAGGGCTGGTACAATTTTAAAAAAGTTTAATTTATCAGACTTAATCCTACACAAGAGAGAAGACACAATTAATATTGATCTGCTAATATGTAAGTTCGAAAATAATCAATCAAGTGTAAGCATGTTAGAAAAATCTCAGATAAAGTATTTTTTGTGAGGTGTTCATCTTGTCTAGATCCAATTAAATTAGCTGATTGCAGTGTACTAAAGGGTAACAAGTTAAAATTTTCTAAACTGTTACAAAAATTTGTAGCCTCTTGATAATTTACATCAAAATTTTTGGACAAAGATTTAAAGGACATTTTTATTTTATAATAAACATTGTTTGTAAACATGGGAGTTTTTGTCATTTAAAATGCATATAGATAGCTTGAACATTTTTTTGGTGTAGTTTATATCTGTAAATGATACCTTAAAATATATCTATAATATCTCTTTGGGATGTCATTATTTAATTTATTTTTTCTGGCCCATAAAAAGGCCTCCAAAAACAAAAATAGCCCCGGGCCCCAAGAAGTCTTAATCCGCCACTGATATACATATATATGAAAATATTAAATTATGTATATCAAAACAATGTTATATATTTCAAAAAATTAAATTATGTATATTAAAACATCAAAAAGTTACAACCTATAAGATATGCTAAAATGTGATATGAATTTCTGCAACAACAAAAAAAATTATCAACTGTAAGTTCCAGGGCGGACGACACCCAGGAGGGGGGGTGACCTGGTGGGCACGTGCCCCCTACTTTTTTCTAAAGGATTTTTTTTTTTAAAGAAATATCTTGATATAGAGGACTTTTTTTTCAAATTGATGATTGTGCATCCCCCCCCCACACACACACACTTCAAAACCCGTGTCGTCGGCCCTGAGTTCAAAAAGAAAAGCTATTTGCTGTTCAAGTTGATGACATTTAAATATGAAGTTATTTTAAATGGGTGACAGGAATGGTGTCGAAAAATGAACTTCAGAATAGTGTTGAATATATTAAAAGGCCTAATGTCGCAAAAAAAAAAAGAAATAGTGTCACAAATAAGTTTAATGAATAGTGTCGAAAACAAAAAAATGGAATAGAGTCGCAAATGAATTTAATTAATAGTGTCAAAAACAAAAAAAATTAATAGTGTCGCAAATAGTTAATTTTAGCAATTGTTTACTCGTTTTACATATCTTTATAGCATGTGGCTTTAACATAAAAAAAAAGATTATTACTAAACTTCAAACCTTCAGTCGATGTAGTGGCATAGAATAGATGGTAGCTTAAATTTTTTAAGTTTTTATAGGTGTACGAGAGGTGGCAAAAAACTGAAATGCTCTGATTGCACTAAGACTACGCTTATTTGTATACATTGAATTTTGTTCATTTACAATTATTACTTTGTTATTTGATGTTAAAATGTTGAATATCGTAAGATTTAAATTTAGAACATGTGTTAAACATTTGATGATGTTAATATGTGGAAGGTACACAAAGTTTACTATATAAAGTGAAAGCAATAATGTCTACAGAAAAGTTTTTAATTTGTTTTTATTGGCTATGTGTTATGTTTTATTGGCTATCTTATACGTTTTATTGGCTATTTTATTGGTTATGTGCCACATCATCAGAGTCTATCAAAACTATCTTGTGATAAAATAAATCAATTTTATCAAAAGAATTTTGGTTAGAGTATGATGCACGTTTAAATTTAAGAAGATGATGCACGATCTTAAAGAAGACATAGATGTTGGTATTTGATTAAGGAACTTTGGGCCAAATCGATGGTGGGTATTTTAATGGTTCTCTTACTTTAATTTTTTCAAAGTTTTAGGGCCAAGACTACTGTGTTCATTGACTACAGTGTTTTATACTGTAGTCAGTGTAGAAATACACTGTTCACTGTAGTCAGTGTAAAACTACATTGCTTACTGTAGTCAGTGTAAAAGTACACTCTTCACTGTAGTCAGTGTAAAAGTACACTGTTCACTGTAGTCAGTGTAAAACTATACTGTTCACTGTTGTTAATGTAAAAGTCAGTCACTGTTCACTGTAGTCAGTAAAACTAAACTGTTCACAAACTACAGTGTTATAAATGTACATTTGAATTCATTTTATCCAACGTATTTTCTCTTCTTCGTCTCTTGGAAATAAACTGACGTTTTTGAATTATTTAACTTTTTCTTCTGTGATAAATAATTCATAGATTAAACACATCATTTTTTCACCATTTTTATAATAGACTAAATAATGAAATATTATAAGCAAACCAAAGAAGCTATTCTCTTTTTTTGATCGTCAGCGTCCATTTTGTAAAAAGGTTTTAGAAGTTGATGTTATTTTTTTTTTTTTTATTGGAATGATTTTTGTGCCCACAATAAATTTGGCCTGTTACTTAGTACCTTGATTTTACGAAAAATTATTATTTTAATTCGTTTGCACAGAAATTTGACCGCCAGGTTGAAATGCATGTCAATTAAAAAATTCTGACTGATTTAGTCTCTACCAATATATAGCAGTTAAAAACAACTTAGTTTAAAATCGAAATCCGGTGCTAAGTATGAAAAAAACCCTAAATGACCCCTTTGATTTAGGCAATGGGGGGGGGGCATTGTTTACATGGTCACCAGTTCTTAACTCCAAAAGATTTTTTGAACTAAATTTGAAATCTTTTGGTGAGTTAAATGATATTTAAGATAGTATATATATAAAAAAAATATATATCTTATTGCCCTCACAAGGTAAATATAATTGGGGTATTTTGTAATACTCATTTGAGATCTTGGATTTTGAGATCCTGGAATTTGAGATCTTGGAATTTGAGATCCTGGCCTTATGTGGTTCACAATAATATGTATTTTCCATGTAGTTTTTAAGGCTAATCCCTCTATTTTTGCATCATGAATATCATTTTGCAAAGATTTCAAAATGTCCGCAAAGTTTTTGATAATTGTTTCATATTCTGGGTTTAAATGTTTTCCGAAAGCTGCATCTTTTACTGATTTAAAAGCTTGCAAACAGTTTATTACGGATAATATCAGATGCTGGTGTACTGGGATTTCCTTTATAACAGCTTGTTCAAGAAGATCTATTTTTTTTAAGTATTTTATTAGAATTATTTCCGCCCCAACCAACTCCATCGTAGCCTCGAAAAATAATATGATGTAAAGATAGCCAAGTTTTAAATCCAGGATCATATATAATTAGCAATACTTTGCCTAAAACTACAACTGCACCTATCATTAAATGCAGTTCTGGTGGAGCTATCTTATGAACAATTAATGTTTCAGGATCCTCATCCAAATAAATTAACCTCTTATTAATAACCTTCATATAATTTGACTTTTTTTTTGTTGGACATCCATCATTTTTGAGAGCAGTAATCAAGATTTCCAAACGTTCTAAGATCTCCAGAGGTTAAAGAACATAATCCTGTACAATACAAACATGCATATTTCCCAGAGTGTGAAGACAAACCCAGTACAGCATTGGCACATTTTAAGTCAAAAGCCATATTAAATTTAACCTCTTCCAGCTTAAGTTTTGATATAATTAATCCTAAATTCCAGTTAGATTCAGGAACGTCTTCAACTATAGCTAAGATCTGTAAACGCTGAACTCCACTATCTTGATACTTTGAAGAAGATGAATGCAGATTATCAGGATCAAACATGTTACAAGCAACCTTCAAGAAACCACCACCTCCATCCACAGCTATATTCACAAATGCTTTAAAAGGGTCAAGATTCCTTTCATTTATATATTGATTATAAAATCGCTTGTATTCTTAACATAAACCAAATTGCAATTAATTTTTGACCCTTGATTTCCTCTAAACTCAACTAGTTCTGCAAAATAAAAAGATTCAACATGCGACTGAATATATATATATATATATATATATATATATATATATATATATATATATATATATATATATATATATATATATATATATATATATATATATATATATATAAAACATAAAATATTAAAACAAATATATAAGCAATAAATATACAAAAAAAAAAATGTTTAATCTGTTATTTCTTTAGAGATATCATTATTTAATTTAAATTAGTAAATCAAATTTGTAAGTGATTTGAAATTAAAATTTTTTACCAATAATACCAAAACAATGATGGCATAAATTCTCTTTCGTGTCATTGACAATTTCAGATTGTGCTGATTGGACAAAATCTACTATGTTGACACCACGCCTGACTACTGATTCTTCGTGTATCTATAACAATAAATAAAAACTTCATTCAACATCAAATACAAGTTCATATATGAACAATGTGACGGTGAGCATTGTGAGTAATGAATTATGCAAAGTAAATTTGATTTAAAATAGTCATTAAAATATTATATTTTACATCATTAAAAATGCTCAGAATTAAACTTTTTTTATAATAATAAAATTTTTATAATTACGTTGATACCTTGGATACTTTTGATAACCAAGAACTTCTTGCAATACTTTTTTCTGCGTCAAGTAGATAAAGGTTTCTTTGACAACTAGTGCAAATCATAGTAGAATATGCTTCTAGGTTTGGATCATATTTATAATTAATAAAAGCATTTATTTTTTGAAGGATTGGTTCAGAAACTGATAATAACTTCTTTGATCTTTCTCCTTTATGCTCTAGACAAACGCAGCAAACACTGAACCTTGTCGCCATTTTTAATTTTTTAATTTTTTTCTCTACCTATAATTTCTATAAAGCTGTATAGTTCCCAGGGATTTTTAACAATTTTTCACCGCGGTTACTAATTTTAGAAAAATTTAAAATAGATAAACTACTGATTTTATTTTTCACAAATAACATTAGATAGCACGTGATTTTGATTTCAAACTTGATTGTTTACTAATAGTATATAGTATTTGTAACCATATTAATTAACATTTTTATATTGACACAAAGTTCAACCTGGCGGTCAAATTTCAGAGCAGTGATACCGTTAAAGTGCGGTTAAAAAGTTATTGTATCGTAAAAGTCAATACGAATCGAAAGTTTTTATTTGTTTAATAAAAACTATACGAAACGAAATGAAATAATTCATTTCGTATCATTTAAAAATACAGTACGAATTAAAACGGATTTTTAGACTTACAGTAAAAAAAAATACAAATTTTTGTTTCGTACGTTTCTTACTTTTTTTTTCATACTAGGAGCAGATACGGGTGTTTATTTTACACTGATTTTTTACTGGACAAAAATTTAAAACTTTAAATTTTATACTTAATGAAATAAAGTTTTACAAAATTCGTGATATTTAAGTCACTAAGTTTCTGTAGACAAACTGTTTAAGAGTTCTACAGGGAAAGGCAATAACAAAATACATATACGGTATTTACATAATTATTTTTTTTATTACAGCAAAACAGATGTTGTCATGCACGATTATTGTATTGCAACAATGCCCGCTTTTAAGCCATCAATTGACTATCTTTACTCGTTTATCGATGCATATCCAAATAACCCCAAGTTTGCTAGTATTGTTTTCAGCCTTATTACACAATCGAATTTTAACGCGCTGAGCTATTTAGATAGCGCACTTGAAAAGTTGTTAAAAGACTTGAAGAAGTTAAATAATACAATAATAGTTATCAATACAGTTAAAGGAAGTTTAGTTGGAAAATTAGCAGAGTTACCACAGGGATTACTTGAAAATAAATCACCGTTTTTGAGTATTTATTTTTCAGAAGATATCCAAGTTAATTATAATATGGCTCTGAGCAGACAAAAAGATATAACAACCCCTTTTGATTTACATGTGACACTTAAATCTTTTTTATCTACAAATAAGTATGAACATCCTTATGGAGTTTCGTTGTATGAAAATGCAGCTCCCAGAAGTTGTGTCAAAGCAGGAATTCACAGTTCTATGTGTCCTTGTAATTAAGAAACTTTTGTCCTTTGATTTTATGTATAATTTGCATAAAATTTTGTTTGTATATATGTGTGTGTGTAATTGCTTTGTGACTAAGTTACCTTATATGGAAAACTCATAAATTTTTGTTAGTAGAAATGGTGGCTTTTTCAAGACTTTTCGGAAACGTGAGTTTGAGTTTTAACGCCAGCATCGGTACATGTGTTTTTTTTAATTTTTTAATATAGTTAATTTTGTGTAGTTAAGTATATAGTTAGACTTTTTGTGTAGTTAAGTATATATAGTTAGGCTTTTTTTTAATAAACATCATTTTGTAGAACATAAATTTTATTTAAAAAATGGTTCCTACGCATTTATTATCTTTTAAAAATCAAAAATATCTTAAACTAATTTTTAAAATAGTAAAAAATAATTTTTAATATTTTATTATCACGTTTATGTATATATCGGTTGAAGTTCAATTACATTCATGTTTTATAACGTTTTTAATGCCTTTTTTTTATTTGTACATTTGTAACAGTATATAAGTTATAAAACTGTATTTAAAATTCTTTTAATAATTGTATTATTTAGTTTTGATTGTAATTAGTTGTATCACCTAAAAAAAAAAATGGAATGTATACAAAAAATTTGTTTTTTTTTAATGTCAAATTTTCGTATAAATAAACAGCTTTTGCAGTTTACTGCGTCTATATATCGTTATAAGCAGAAAAAACAACTGTAATAAATTATTTAAAGTGCAAATAAAACTGTTAAAAGTTTTTTACTTCAGCCTGTATTTATATATTTGATCTATATTGAATAAATTTGATATATATAGATAAATATATATGATATATATAGATATCTAGATAAATTTGATTTTCGCTGCATCAAATTAATTTCATTACGCATAGACATCTGAGAAATATAGACAAAATAAGCAAATTCTGGAAGTGATGTCTTCAAATTGTCCACATTTCAAATATTCTGTAGAAAATAATGAAATAAGGCCACTGTTATTTTTTTTTTGTTTTTATTATTTTATTTATTTTTTTTTTTTTTTGAAAACTATAAATTGAGAAGTTATTGGGTCCCGAAATTTGGTCCTTTATATAAAAATATTTTTGAATGGAGTACATTTGCTACTTTGAAGGGTCTGCCGAAAAAGTTATTTGGTTTCCTTATATATAAATCTTCCAATATCTGAAAAAAAAACCATGCGCTCAAGCGATGAAATACCTACACAAGTCCGAGACTTACTTTGCCGTTGCCTTTACTTTGCCGCATTTTGAACTTACAAAATCCCCTAACAACGGTATAGATATGCTTAGCAACAGCTTTTTAACATCATTAACAATTAGTATTCTAATTAAAATTAAGAACTCTGCAAGAGTGCTTAATAAAATAAATTTTTTAAGTTTTTTTAATGAGAAAAAGAACCAAACATCAACACTGGAAGTTTTTATATCATTGTTAAAATAATGATGTAAATTTTATACAAACGTTTTTTCCAATTAAAATCTGATGGAAGACAATAAAACAATAAAAATCTGATAAGAAACTTTTTTAAGAATGTAAATAAAATAACGTTTTAAAGCAGTTTATCAATGGCCAAATTGAATTTTTACGCTGTCAATGTCATCTTATGAGAGTGAATAGTTCCCTTTTTGATTAGTTGTTATGGTGCATTAATCCTACAAACAACGTCAATAAATAAATATTAGGGAAATTTTTCTTTGTTTAGCCACTTGAAACAATTCTTTCCCAGCAGGAACACAACGCTGTATTAACGTTAGAACGTTGTTACAACGTTATTACAACGTTGTGTTCCTGCTGGGCTCAAGTAGTAGTAGAATATTCCATATAAGAAACATAATTATCATCGTCATTGACCTCATGGTCGAGTTAAAAGTAAAACAACTTCTAATCATTGGTACATTATACACAAAAATAAATTATAGTGTTACTATACATTATAGAATACATTATAATGTCACACCTCCTTTGCCATCAGTTGAATACTGTCGTTTAAATTGTCATTTTTATTTTGAGTTGCACCTCTTGCATCATCAGTTGCATTAATCCCGTCATCTGTTAGATTAACCTCTTCCCAAAAAGTAGTTACTAGCTTTCCTGTTCTTTATAGCTAACTCCATCTAAAAAAATTCAACAAGAAGCATTCAACAAGAGCGGCCGCGATTTTACCACGAGCAGAATAAAAAAAAAAACAAAAAAAACATTTTGATTACTTTACATTTGAAAAAATATTCAAGCATAATCTACAAAAACTATTTCTATTTTATAACGTATATTATACTATGGCAGTAACACTTTCTGAAATAAAAAAGATGTTAAAATAAATGTTTAAAGAATTCAAAAAAGAAATTGAAGAAATGTTTCGTAAACAAGAGAAAACTGTTATTGATATTATTGGGGCTAATATAAAAATAATTAACGACAGAATGGACAAAGTAGAGTTAAACATCAACGTGAATGCAAACAAAATTAAAGAACTTACAAAGGAATTGGAAGATATTAAGCATAGTCTAAACTACAACGAAGAGCTAGTTGACAAAAAAATTCATAACAACAATAAACAACTAGATAAAAAATTCGAACATACTAATATAGAAAAATTTATAAAGGAAAGGCAACGAAACCTGGATCAAGAAGAAATAACCTACGAATCAATGAAATTGATGAAAATGGACAAGAATCATGGGGGGACTCTGAAGAAAAAGTTCACACATTCTTTTGGCAAAAACTTAGACTGAAAAATATCGACATTGAACGTGCCCACTGGATTAAAGAAAGATGGACGACCGAGGACAATAGTACTTAACCTGCAGAAATACAAAGACAAAGTAAAAATCTTGAAAGAATCTCATCGACTAAAAGGCACGAGTTTTTTTATTAACGAAGACTTTTCTCGTGAGACCGTTGCTATTCGGAAAAGATTATTTGCGGAAGTAAAACAAAGGCGTTCAAATGGTTTTTCCTATTTATTATCATGGCTATGACTAATAACTTTGAAGCCCTTTTTTAATTTATATGAAACAAATCTCTTTTCTTCAGAAGAATACCTAGACCCTGAAAATAAATTTTTATCGCAGTATTTTATCCGATTGTTCGGATCATTTTCCAAACCAACTAGAAGGGTTTGTTTTTAAGAATGCTCGCAAAAAAAGTAATAATCAAATTGTAATTCTCCACCTCAATATAAGAAGTTTGAAATGCAATATGGAAAAACTTTTAAATCTATTAGAAGAAACTAAACACATTTTTAATATAATTTGTTTAACTGAAATTTGAATCACAGAAGATGAAATAAGTAGTAATTTTGATATTCCTCATTTTAATACTATTTCTATGGAGAGAAAAACAAATAAGCGCGGCGGTGGAGTATTTATTTATGTTCACGAAAATTTTGAGTGTTGTTTTAGGAATGATTTGAGCGTTTCTGACTGCGATCGAAAAATTGTAACTATTGAAATTACAAACAATCAAACTAAAAACATTTTATTAAGCTATTGTTATCGGCCACCTGACGGCGTGAGCGAAAACGTGAGCATGTTCTTGCAACAAGTTATTAAAAAAGGAATTAATGATAAAAAAGAAAACTATATAGTCGGAGACTTAAATATGAACTGTTTTCTCTATAATGACGACCAAAAAATTAAGAATTTTTATGATGCAATTTTTGAAACAGGGTCAGTTATTTTAATAAATCGACCCACTAGAGTAACAATTAACACAGCAACTCTTATAGATAATATTATAACTGCTGATATTTTTAATAATAATATACAAATAGGTATCATAAAAACTGATGTATCGGATCATTTTCCTCTATTCTTAAAACTTAATAAAACAAACCCAGAAAGAAATAATAAGAAAACGCATTTATAATGAGGATAATATTAAATTCTTTAAAGAACAAATATCATTACTGCATTGGAAAAACATAAATTTTGAAGATAACGCAAATAATATTTATGAAACTTTTTTCAAAACATTTTTTTTTTGTATATGAAGTTAATTTCGCAATAGTAGAAAAAACAATAACAACTAAGAATATCAATACACCCTGGATTACTAAAGGTTTTAAAAAATCATTCAGAATAAAACAAAAGTTATACATAAATTTTTAAAAACAAAAACAGCTTCAAGCGAAAAAATCTATAAGAACTACAAAAACCTATTTGAAAAAATTCGCAAAAATTTAAAGAAAAATTATTACTCTTAATTATTCAATACATTTAAAAACGACACAAAGCGCACGTGGAAAATAATGAAAGAAATTATTGGCAAAAATAAACTATGCTCCGGTTTTCTGCCACAAATGGTCAGAGTCGATAACAAAAGTTTATATAAACCAAAAACTATAGCTCAAAAATTTAACAAATATTTTGCTCATATAGGACCAACACTGTCTGAAAAAAACCTTAAGACCAAATCTTTGTTTACTGACTATCTAAAATCCCTGGATAATTACATTTGTTCAGATGAGTTATCTTCCGAATTAATGTTTGATTAGTTTGAAAGAGCCTTTAAATCTGTTTAAAAAAATAAAGCAATTGGAGCAGATCAAATTAATGGAAACGTGGTTTTAGATTGCTTTGAACAACTTAAAGTTGTTCTTTTTAAAATCTTTAGGGCTTCTTTCCATCAAGGAGTATTCTCAGAACAATTAAAAATTGCAAAAATTACTCCTATTTTTAAAGAAGGGGACAAATCTGAAATCAGTAATTATCGCCCTATCTCTGTTCTCTCCACATTTTCGAAAATTTTAGAAAAGATTATTTTTAACAGAATATACAAATATTTTCATGATAATAATCTACTTTACATCAATCAATTTGGTGTCAAGAAAAATAACTCAACTGAACATGCAATTATCCAATTTGTACGTGAAATCTCAAAACCATTCGAAAAATCACAATATACACTAGGAATTTTTATTGACCTATCAAAAGCTTTTGATACGATCGATTTTAATTTATAAACTCAAGTAATACGGAATAAAAAATAAAATTTTAAAATGGTTTAAAAGTTATCTATCTAACCGAAAGCAATTTGGACCATTTAACAATGATTACCAACCCTCTTTTCTTAATATAACCTGTGGAGTCCCACAAGGTTCAATTCTTGGGCCTCTCCTTTTTTTAATTTATGTAAATGACTTAAACAAAGCTTCAAAACTAACAAGCATTATGTATGCAGATGATACAAATTTATTCCTTTCTAACTATGATATCGATGAATATTTTAAAACAGTGAACAAAGAACTCAGACATATATCTAACTGGTTCAAGTGTAACAAGTTAACCTTAAATAATAATAAAACAAAATGGGTTTTATTTCATTCGATTACAAAAAAGCGATTTCTTCCATAAAAATTACCTCAAATCTTTAAAAGAGATTTTGTTACAAAATTTTTAGGTGTTTATCTTGATGAAAACATTACTTGGAATCACCATATTGATTATATAAGCACAAAAATTTCTAAAAACATGGGCATCCTATATAAATCACGAATCTATCTCAATAAGAAAGTCTTAATCCAACTTTATTATTCATTTATACATAGTTATTTAAATTATTGCTTGGGGAAGTACAGAAAAAAGTAAGTTGCAACGTCTTTATCTCCGTCAGAAACGCGCAATCCGTATAATCAATTTTGCAAATTCCTTCTCTCATTCGAAGCATTATTTTATTGAAATGAGAATTCTGAATATTTACGAGTTAAATGTGTTTAATATTTTATGTTTTGTCTATATGTGGATAAATAACTTATCCCTAGCCGTATTCAAAGATCTTTTCTCTTTTAAACCTGTCAGTAAATATATTTTGAGAAATAATAACTTTTTAAATGAGCCTTTCTGTCAAACAAACTTTAATCAATTTTGTATTACCTATCGAACGCCACACCTTTGAAATAAAATTGTTTTGGCGAATTTTAATTTTGAAGTACCTATTACTTTTTGCCTTTTTTAAAAAAAATCGAAAAACCTCATTCTTTTATTAGATAATATATTGAGTTATTATTAGTAGTAAAAGTTAAAAATATATATATTTTTTTTGTTTATAGAAGTTTTATGTTTATAGAAGTTTATTCCTACTTATTTTATTTATTGTTCTTATACTTTTTACTTTTTAATTTATATGTTGGTTTACTTTTGTATAAAAATCTGATGAGAAGATCCTCTTGATCTTTTTTCAGACACCGATTGTTTGCATTGCAATTTTGTAAAAGTTTATTATTTTTTTCTTTTCTATCTTATATTTGTTAAATGTTTTTTTTTAAGGTTCTGACGACAAGATCCTTGCGATCTTCTTTCAGATACCTTGTTTATGTTTGTTATGTTTTATGCCATTGTAAGTTTATATTAATATTTTTTATTATGGGCTGTACAACGATTAACAAATGTAAACCAAAATATATATATATATATATATATATATATATATATATATATATATATATATATATATATATATATATATGTATATATATATATATATATGTATATATATATATATATATATATATATATATATATATATATATATATATATATATATATATATATATTTATATATATCTGAAACATAAAGGAAATTTTAAAATATTTATTTCAAGTCCCAAGAAAAGAATAAAGTTACATTTTATATATTTTATATACTTTGGTTATTAGTAAATAAACAAGTTAACTTACTTGCCTAGATAAATGATTACTTGCCTAGATAAATGAAAAAAAAAATGCCTAAAATAATGATCGAACTTGTTGAGTTGTCACTCTCGGCTTTAACTTTGTCTTGAGCTGCTGTTAAACCTGCTCTGAATTCTGGATTTTCTTCCCAGACATAAACATCTGTATTAACAACGTTTTTTGCTTTGAAGAATATCTGAACACTTTTTTTCTTGGTAATGCCCATCCAGTGATGTTTGTGAAGTTTTCAATCTTTTCTCTAATGAGAGAATAGGAAAATAGCAGATAATCCAGAACAACTTAGTTTTAAATCCTTTCTCTAATGAGAGAATGGGAAAATAGCAGATAATCCAGAACAACTTAGTTTTTAATCCTTTCTCTAATGAGAGAATGGGAAAATAGCAATTAATCCAGAACAACTTAGTTTTCAATCCTTTCTCTAATGAGAGAATGGGAAAATAGCAGATAATCCAGAACAACTAAGTTTTGAGATTTTTATTTTGTTGGTGTAATAGGTTTCTTCACAGATCGAAAACTGTGGTTTTCTGATAGCATGTGTTCTTCTAATGATTCATTATCAAAAACGGATTCAGCACAGAAAATTGTAGATAACTTGAGAGTATTAACACTTCTATCAAAACATTTTTTTTTTGAAATTGTTGGTACAACATAGTTTTTGTAAATTAAACTAACTTTTTTTCTCATTTGACCATTTTCATTGAAAAAGAAAATATCAACATATGTGATCATTCTTTTTTTTTCCAAAATACTTTTTTTGGTCTTCACAGAATTTAGCTGGCAAGATCCAGTTTCCTCATCATAAAAGATAGTATTACAAATGGTTGTCCAAAAGGATGTGCTTGAGTAGCAATCAAAAATGATTGTTTAAAGAAATTATAAAAATGATTGTCCAAAGGGAATTGGTTGTGTACAAATCATCACAATCATTAACACAAATATCACACAAAAATGGCAGTCATATCAAAATTACTATTACGCCCTACTTGAACCTATTGTTAAGTATTTTGTTGCATTGAAAAAGCTTAAAAAAATAATTTTTATCAAGCACTCTTGTAGAGTTCCGTTATAAAAATGTCTTTTATATTAATTTAATTAGATTATTAATTGTTAATGATGTAAAGTAGACGTTACTAAACATATCTATACCGTTCCTAGGGTATTTTGTAAGATTAAAATATGGCAAAATAATTCTAGGATAATCCATATGCTTAAGCGATAAAAAGTGTAAACTTTTTATCGCCTTAGCATATGGATTTTTTTTTTTATATTGGAAGATTCATGTATAAAGAAACCAAATAATATTTTATGGCAGACCTAAGGCCACGGTTGTTATGGGTAATCACAAAAATCCATTTTCGGCAGCTTACTCCTCCCCAGCCTCTTGCATGTACCGATTTTATTTTTTTTAAATCAATGTATATCTTAGTGGCTTTAAAAAAAAAAAATAATTCATTTGCACGTCATGGCCTTAGGAGATATTAATGCTTAATATACGTGTAAAACTTCAAATTTAGCGGTTTTAAACCATGAATTCGTTTGTCCAGAGATTAGAATTTGCAAATAATTTTACGTTTTTTAACGTTTTTTTAAATCAGAAGTAGCGTGCAGACGTATAAAACATCGCTCTCATACACCTGTTTGATTGCCGCTCTCATACACCTGTTTGAGCAACTGTGTATAAAACATTTGCCGCTCTCATACACCTGTTTGAACAACTGTGTCCGTTTAGATGTAAACTGTAAATACTACTATAGTTTGGCATTCTGTTATAAATAATTCTTTCATTAAATGCATTTTGCTCTAAAATTGAAGAAAAGTAGTATTTTCATAGACCTGCAATACTTTTATATAAGAGAACTCACATATAACTTGTTTAGTAAACTGTTAATAATGAGAGAATTCACATATAACTTGTTTAGTAAACTGTTAATAATGAGAGAATTCACATACAACTTGTTTAGTAAACTGTTAATAATGAGAGAATTCATATATAACTTGTTTAGTAAACTGTTAATAATGAGAGAATTCACATACAACTTGTTTAGTAAACTGTTAATAATGAGAGAATTCACATATAACTTGTTTAGTAAACTGTTAATAATGAGAGAATTCACATATAACTTGTTTAGTAAACTGTTAATAATGAGAGAATTCACATACAACTTGTTTATTATAACTGTTTATTGTATTCAAAGATTTTAGATACTGAAAAAAACAAGATTATTATTTAAACTAATTTATTTTTTTAGCTCCAAAGTGTTTCTGAAAAAAAAAGTATTCGTCACTGTCAGTCAATAAACAATAAATTTGTTTAGAAAATGATAGAGAAGGTTTTAAAATATTTAAGTTCTGTTTTTAGAATATAAAAACACAATAACAATTTATTTTAAAAAAATTAAAATTTTAAAAAATAAAACAAATGTTAAGTAAAATTTCATAAAAACAAACAAAAATCAAACTTAGATAAAAAAAAAAAGAATTTCCTATCAATAAACATTCAAAATAAACAAGTGTTAAAGATACAAAAGAATTTTCAATTCAACAATTGCATTCCAATTCAACAATTACATTTCAATTCAACAATTACATTTCAATTCAACAATTACATTTCAATTCAACAATTACATTTCAATTCAACAACTATATTTTAATTCAACAATTACATTTCAATTCAACAATTAGAATTCTTTAACGTTTTTTGTTAATGATGTAGAAATATTAGGAGATGGTCGAAATATCGACGTTAATAATACGTCGATTTCTTTGAAATAACTAGAAAAGTCCGTAAAATCAATAAAACCCCCATTTATTTTATAATTTAACTTACCCCAAGGAATTATATAATGTGAACTAAATTTAGAAATAATATACAAAAACCATTCTTTAAAACGCATTGCTGCTACCTACCCCTGTTGCAACTCACTCAGCTCTAAAGTTTCGTTTTGCTTTGTATACCAGGAATAGAGGTGTGAAGTATCATTGTAGCCTGTAGTATTATTCACCGTATAAATGAATTTTTTCATTGTTACCAGTGACACGTTTTACCTTTTTGACACACGAAGTCCATCATCATTGACTCTGTTCATCATTAAGTACAGTTGTTGAGGCTAGTTCCTTGAAAAATGAATTAAGGAATTAACACTTTGATTCCTTAATCAGAACAGGTTATTTAATAATAAAAAAAACAAGTAAAATCAACAAAAATTGGTTAAAAATGATTTTTATCTTTACAGTGAAAATTTAAACAGTTAATTCAAAACTTTTTATAGGATTTAATACTAATCCTTTGTCAGGGTAATACTAACCCTGACAAAGGATTAGTATTACCCTGACAAAGAATTAGTATTACCATGACAAACTTAAAATTTTTTAAACAAAAAGTTGTATAATAGTTTTAACTGTTATGAAGTTCTCTTAATTTATTGATTAAAAATCACTAAATAAAGTATTATTTTTAAGGTTTATGGTTGTTACTAAGTATTTTTTACTTTACTCGAACTACTTTTACAACCCTTTGATTTTATTACTAGTTAGTTAAGGAAAACTTTAATGTTCTAATCAAGGAAACTTTGGACTATTTTGTTATATCACTGCAATAACATGCTTGCAGCAACTTATAAGAAAAGTTTATATCGTTATTTTGCATTTTAAATCCCATCGAATTAAACACAAAAAATCGTATAACCTATAGCACTATAGTTTATCCAGCGCAATATGGGTAAAACTTTAAATCAATGGTGCAAATGCATTTTTTGAGGAATAACTTTCAAAATGTGTCAAAACGTAGAAAGTAATGCTTTTTACTAAAAAAATGCAAAATATAGCCATAATTCTTTTTTTTTTTTTTTAAATAAATGCATATATATATATATATATATATATATATATATATATATATATATATATATATATATATATATATATATATATTATTGTTATCATTACTATTAGTGCGTTTAATTAAAACGTGTACATATAAATAGACACAAGATCCATAGATACAATTAAATATAGAGTAAATAAAAGTAAAAATACACCCATCCACAACAACTTATCATTTATATATATATATATATATATATATATATATATATATATATATATATATATATATATATATATATATATATATATATATATATATATATATACATACATATACATGCATATATATATATATATATATATATATATATATATATATATATATATATATATATATGCATATATATATATATATATGCATATATATATATATATATATATATATATATATATATATATATATATATATATATATATATATATATATATATATATCAGTGGCGGATCTACAGTACTGCAGATTAGGCGTCCGCCCGTCCGCCTAATGAGAAATATTATATTATAATTAAGATGTATCTTACTTTAGGGTTGTTAACCGGAGGATTTTGTGCCGGAATAATTCTGGAATAACAACATTCTTTCGTAAGGAGATTGAGAACGAGGAATTACATTTTTTTGTACCGAATATTACGAGGTTAGCAGACGTTAACATAACTCCAAAGTAGGTCGATGATTTCGCTTACCGTATTTTATTTTATTTTGCCGCATTAACAAGTAAAATTTTTGTTATCATATTTTGCCGCATCAATAAGTAAAACAAAGGTGCCTTGACTTATACTGTTAGCGTTTATGACAAATAATATATATATATATATATATATATATATATATATATATATATATATATATATATATATATATATATATATATATATATATATATATATATATATTATATATATATATATATATATTTATATATATATTAAATATTAAATATTAAATCCACTATATTAATTTTTTTTTAATTATCTAGACCTAGTATATGGTTATTCAATAATAGTTGTATCTTAATTAGCAAGAAATATAAAAACCTTTTATATTTCCGCTTTCTTCATCAGAGCTTATTTCATCAGAACTGCTGAAATTCAAATTTTCGCCATACATAGATAAATCCATAATCTTTGTTTTTGTTTACTTTAATAATCCTTAGTATTTAATATTACGTTTCCTTGTACAATTATTGGATTGTAACATAAGTTCGTAGAGTTTAGCGTTAGAGTTATTTTACAACGATTTGTTTTGTTTTTTAGTAAAGTGTATACATTTATTTGAAAGAGCTCTTTCTTGTCTACAAAATGGTTTATTTGTTTTTTTGGATAATTTAATTGTTCGTCTTTTTTCTGGTTTAGAAATGGAATGCCCAGGAGGAAAAAATCAGCATTTTCGACATCTGCTTTTCTTTGCTTTTCATCGAGGTCAAAAAGCAGCCGAAGCCGCTCGGGACATATGCAGTGTGTACGGGAAAGGTGTCTTAGGTGTGTCTACTGCACAAAAATGGTTCGCAAAGTTTAAAAATGGCGACTTTGACCTTGAAGACACACCTCGAAGCGGACGACCTGCAGAATTCGACGAAGAGCATCTGAAGGCACTATTGAAGGAAGATGGTCGCCAAACAACTCGTGAATTGTCTGAAAAAATGAACATCAGTGCAATGACAATCTCTTGTCGCCTTCAATTAATTGGTTTTACTCAAAAACTTGGAGCATGGGTACCTCATGAGCTAAACGAAGAAAACAAAGCAAAACGCCTTCAAATTGCTGCTCAACATCTCGCCCGCCACCGAGCAACACATGGACACAAACAGTGCTTTTTGTATTGAATCATCACGGGAGATGAGAAATGGTGTCTGTACGTCAATGTGAAGCAAAGAAAAGAGTGGGTGGTCCCAGGAGAGACGCCGAAGCCGAGAGTCAAGCAAGATCTTCACCCAAAAAAGGCCATGATCTGCGTTTGGTGGGACTGGGAAGGCATGGTGCACTGGGAAATGCTCGAACGAAATGCCACTGTCATCAAGGAGGTCTACATTTCCAAGCTGAACCGTGTAAATGAGGCTATTTGGCTGAAAAAAACCCAATAGACAAGGTCAAGTCATCTTGCTCCACAACAATGCTAGGCCCCATATTGCCCAAGTTGTCAAAACAGCACTCCAAGAGCTTGAATGGGAGGTTCTTCAGCATCCACCGCACTCTCCGGATCTTGCACCTACCGACTATCACCTTTTCCACTCTCTATCAAACCAAATGAGGGGTGTTACCTTTGATGGCAAAGAGGATCTTAAAAACTGGCTCAACAACTTCTTCGACACCAGATCGACCGATTTTTGGCGAAACGGCATCAAGAAATTGGTCGAGAGATGGGAGGAGGTCGTAAACAGTAACGGAGAATACATCATTGATAAATTCATTATTATAATTATTGTTTTTTGTTCAAATAAATCTTTATGAAAAAACTCTACGAACTTATGTTACAACCCAATATTTTCTGTTTTGAATTAACTCGAACAAATAAAAAAGTTAACGGCCACCGAAAACATCAACCTACTTTAGAGTTATGTTATATTTCGAAACATTTAAAATCGTCATATTACGAAACATTTAAAATTGTCGATGCTCATTTCATAAATGCTACTTCCAAAATTTATTATTTTGCAAGATGACATACGAAACAAAACTATTTTGAAACATACGAAAGTAGCGGTTTCGGAAGTCGCACTTGCGAAACAAGCATATTCGCCAAACGACGTTTTGAAGACTATAAAGAAAATTTGTTTGCCAGACTGATTTTAATTGTAAAAATTAACATCTTTAAATCTTAAAATGTTTTTAATGAACTTTTATTTTCAGTATAATAACATTTTAGATTTTTATGGTTTTATTTTTAGAAATATTGATAAAAAACAAAATTTCTTTCGAAACGAAAGTATTTTGCATCACAACATAGGAAAGAGTTCTAACCGAAAAAATCTTACGAAACGTGCCATAATAAATATATATAATGATGTTTTTTGAACTCATTGCGTATAGTAAAAGTAAGAATGATGGGGAGGAATATAAATGTTTTTTTTTAAAAGCATATGAAAAATTTGAAACTTTTTAAAACAGTTGGAATGTATTGAGATCATGATCACATTTGGTCACAATAAGACTTTAAACTAAAGTCTTATTGTGACCAAATGTGATATATAATGTATATAGGTAGTTTTGTTTATTTATATAAACAAAACTATCTATATACAATAATAGACTTCATACGGTTTTGTTGTTATTTATAATGCTACCACTTTTATTTTTTTCCCTACAAATCGCGTTATATGAATTTGGCTAATACGAGCAGATTTTAAAGGTATTTACATCTACAATGTGGTATAGAAATAGTAATTTGCTTTGTTGGAAATTCGATGAAAATTTCTAGAGACATAGTATAAATTAAAAATTTACCAACGTTTTACTATTGTTTTACCATTTGACTGAAAATATAATTATTTACAAATATCAACAATTTGTATATAAATTTAACAGCCATTATTCGATCCTAGCGGATTTAAAAATGTGCTTTAAAGCAAACGCATAAAGTCATTTGTCATTATTATCGAAGAACACTTCAACAACTCATGGGAAGACGACGAGTGATTATGTTATAGATATAGAATAAAATTTTTAATAGTTTGTTTACTATTTGATGAGGTATCAACTGTTTTATAATATAATATGTTGAGATATAAATGTAAAATTTAACCAGAAAAAATCAATGGTGCTTGCACATATTTTTTATGTTACTTTAGGGGGGAGGGGGGGGCAAAATCTGACATCATATATAAGGGGGTTTTGCCAAAAATTGACAGAGTTTGACAAAGAGGGGAGGGGGTTTAAAAATTTAGAAAAATCACAGACATCAATTATGGACAGCCCCTTTTACTAGAAAGCTGGAAGGTTTTTCAATTTTCCTTGAGCGTTCTATAAAAACCAAGAGCTACGCTTAACTCGGACATTTCCTAAGTTGTACTATTTATCTGTTTCTATTTTTCTATCTAATATATATATATTTCTTTTCACAACTGCAACACCCGTTATTTCAACATTCGTTTGTTAGTGATATTCAGGAACTATGCCATCTTCAGAAATTAAATTTTCAAAACCTAATTCAAAATAAAAAGAAGGTAAAAATACCACTTTCTAAAAGTAAAATTCCTTCCGAAGTTGAACGAAACTTGAAGTATGCAATAGAGCGCTGGAATGCAAGAGGAGTTTTCAAGCAAATTCTGGAAGAAAACGTTTTTAAGCAAAGTCATCCGAAATAACTTTCTTATTTTTTTCTTTTTACCTTGTAAATTGGGTATTAAATAAATAAAATAATAATATATACATATATATTTATAAATATATATATATATATATATATATATATATATATATATATATATATATATATATACATATATACATATATATATATATATATATATATATATATATATATATATATATATATATATATATATATATATACATGTATATATATATATATATATATTATATATATATATATATATATATATATATATATATATATATATGTATATATATCTCACCCTATATATATACATATATATATATATATATATACATATATATATATATATATATATATATATATATATATATATATATATATATATATATATATATATATATATATATATATATATATATATATATATATATATATATATTCATCGTAACATAAAATCTTTAGTGTCTTTTTTCGTAACTGCACATTCCGAAATGCTCCTTCCGTAAGGAACTATTTCGTAAGTATTCTTACGAAATGATTTGTTTCGCAAGTTTATTTTCGCAATGCTTTATTACGGAATTTTATTTATTTATATTTTCGTACAGTGCGTAACGGAAATTACCGCAATAACAATTCTATTACGGTAGATGAAGATGCGAAATTTCGCAAGTTTTGCTTTTTGGCAAACAACCCAAAAATTGTCTCTAATATAAAATCTGCTGAATTTTTTCCAATTTTATTCAATGAAGCCATTGATGTTTCAAACAAGTCGTTAATGTCTTTAGTTTTGCGTTATGATGACAGTGGTAATAACATTGTTGAAGAATTTGTTAAGTTCATAAACAACAATAATGGTTTAGATGTGGAAAGTCTATTAACATTTTAGACACTATTGCATCTATTGGTTTAGATATTAGTAATTTTCAAGGCCAAAGTTGCTAGAGCTGAGCTGGTGCTAGAGCTGTAGCTGGAACAAAAAAGGGAGTTGCTACATGAATTTTAAAGTTAAACAACAAGGCTTTATACACCCATTGTTTTAGTCATCGATTAAATCTAGCAGTGTGTAATTCTTGCAAAGTTTGACTTCTCTGTAATGCTATGGACCATGTAAAAGAGGTTTTCTATTTTAATTTTTCTATCAAAATAAATTCTTTCTTGGAGACAATGATTTTAGAACACTGTCCTGATAAAAAGAAAAGAAAAAAAAAAACTTAAAGATGTTTGTCGAATTAGGTGGCCTGAAAAAATAGATTTGTATATTTCAATAGTTTATTCCCTTGAAGCTATAAGCAATGACATAAATAAGTTTGGGGCAGACTGCCAAAAAGTTACATCTTTATTGAAATTGGTCACTACCATTAAATTTATTTATTATATTTCTTTAGTTGTGACTAGAGCTGTTTTTAATGAAACGCATGTAGTGACTAAAATGTTACAATCCAGCAGTTTAGATATTCAAACTGGTATAGAAAATGTTTGCCAATATT